GGAAATAAGAAAGAAAAAAAATTAATGATACGTAGGGAAGGAAGGAAAGGAAGGAAGGAAAGGAAGGAAAGGAAGGAAAGGAAGAAAAGGAAGGAAGGAAGAAAAGCTAGCAAATATAGAAACAGAATTTTTTGGCTTTAAACTAGAAAACATCTTTCTTAATTAAAAAGGATGTTTTTAAAGTATGACTGATAGAGACAAGTTTTATTGTGAATTTGATTGTCTAAATATTACTCAGAAATGCGCTAAAATACGTCATTAACCTGGATTGTTTACTATCCTGTTTAAGCAATAGCGCATCTACTTGTACAAAATCCAGTCTATCTCTATTCATAACGTGCTGTGATCTGCACTATCGATGTTATAAGCTTTTAACTACGAAAGTCTACCAAGAAACTTGTTACTTTGTACAATGTATTAAGATATAAGTAATAATTTCTGTTATTCTTGACGTCTTGGCCGCCATATTGGATGAATAAAAATAATAGAGTAGTCCTCCAACATGACCGATGTATCATAATTTGTCCTACACCCACTGGGGATGATTTTGAAATTCTTAATTTAGGAATAATGCCAGATCAATGGCGCTTGGAACAACTTATGAAATAGTTTGATAATGTTGAGACATGCCAATTGTTGGGTTTAAGCACATCGCCGAATCAACGGCCATTGTGCAAATCTCGCACATTTACCCACTCAATAGACCTGCACACACAGCCTGAAGAGGGTTATTTCCTGGCCTGCCATGCGACATTATCAACTCCATGTTGGATGACTATAACTGATTACTCCAAAATGGCCGACCAGTCAAGGAATTTGATTCCCTTACGAATGATTTGAAAAGCATCACTTCAACTTCAAAATCCTCCAAGTGATATATTTATGTAGAGGACCCAGCCTAAGCTAAATAATGCTGACTGTAACATGCCAATTTACACCATACAAATATACAAGAATGTCCAGCCAGATTTGACCAATACAAGGCGCTGAGTGTAAGGAGTGCTAAGAGGTAGGCGTGGGTTCCCACTTTACTGTATACTTATAACACTGAATGGGTGTGTTAGTAAGCCGCTGTTTGGCTGTGGTACATGGTTTTAGACCCTCTGTTTTGCCTAGTAACCAGTCTTCACAGGATTTTTCCATTTCTTCTGTCACGTTCGATTCCATCCATTCGTCTAACCATTTGTGGAATTTTTTATGTAGTCGTGGCATAACTTGAGGATGGCACTAAGGTCAGAAAATATATGAATATTTCCATCATCCTTACCACTTAACATGCTGAAGAAATATTCAGTACTATAGACCCCTTGCACTAAATCCCTACCTGGGGGTCAAAATAATGAAACATATTACACCTGATTTCAACACTCAGGATGTTCAGTTTCGGTCGGTCTTTGGCACTCGACCGACATCACATCGGGAACTGACCATGAAAGATATAAATCATTTTCATTGTCTGGAATGAAATTTAGAATATACAATATCCCTTTTGGCTGTGTTCCCGACTAAAATTTTGAAGTAAACTAAGGTAACCTTACGTATAATAAGCTCACATGTCGAGTGATATCGGTCAAGTGCCGAAGATCGACTGAAAAGGAAAATCCTGAGAGTTCGCACTATTTGGAAATCAGGTGTAACATCAGAAAAGATTTCAATCATCAAGAAATTGGAATTGTTTTGTTTTGACCCCAAGATTGAGCTGCTGTGACGTCACATGCCAGGGACTACCCGAAAATGGTTGATAGACTGACCATTGTGGCGACAGGGGCCCGCATTTCTACTGGTCATCAACACTACCCTTAAGGAGGCTGGAAAGTGTTTTGTGCCCTTCACATTATGAACTAAAATAATATTATGCCTATAATATGACAGCAAGTAAACCCGGAAAGCCAAAGACCACAAACCAAAAACCAAAAAAAGAAAACATTTTTTAAGAGGGAATTTGTAAAAATCAATAAAATTTGTTTGGAATAGTTCCCTCTTACAGAAATTTTTCTTTTTTTTTTTTTGTCGAAAAGAAGATTATGATACAAAGTTTAAATATTCTGGTTTTAAAAAAATTTCACCCTTTAGTTCCTGAGTTATGACTTTTTAAATGAACATTTTTGATGGCATACCAAGGGATCTGATGTTGTCATAGCAATGTCTGACGTCATTTTTTCATGCTCATTGTGATCTTTGGTTTATGGTCTTTGGCTTTCCGGGTTTACTTGCTGTCATATTATAGCCATAATATATTTTTTTAGTTCATAATGTGAAGGCACAAAACTAATGTTGTCCTTACCTCTTTGGCTTTGGTTAGAGCTCCTCGTCTGTACATGGATTCCCAGCTTCCAGCAACAAATCTCATTTTGTACGAATTAAAGCTCAGTTTACATTGCATGGAGTTCTCAACCATGTCTTCAATCTCATCTCCTTCCTCCTCTTCCTTATCACTAAAGAACAGATGATGCTTACGTTACTAACAGAATCAGTTGCTTGTATTTCTATCTTGTGACACATCATATACAGCATATCACATCATATACAGCATATCACATCATATACAGCATATCACATCATATACAGCATATCACATCATATACAGCATATCACATCATGTACAGCATATCGCATCATATACAGCATATCACATCATGTACAGCATATCACATCATGTACAGCATATCACGTCATGTACAGCATATCACATCATGTACAGCATATCACATCATGTACAGCATATCACATCATATACAGCATATCACATCATGTACAGCATATCACATCATATATACTTATTTCAATAAAGTTAGTCACCTGAAAAGCTACAAAGCTGAAAATGACAAGGATTATGGATAGATACATTTTACATGTTTCAACCGCTTGATAACTGTTGATGGACTTGAGATCTTCTACGAGTTACAAGTTAACCTCCTCTGAGCATCCTCAACTGCTGCAGTTTATGTCAAAAGCTTTACTTGTTGGATATAAAACATTTCTCCATGATTCTCAGCGATCACAGCTTTATAGATTTTGTTGACTAACTTTATTGAAATAAGTATATGGCATATCACATCATATACAGCATATCAACTATAGGTTAACTTACCTTTTATTGACTTCACTTTCTGCTTCATCAGTAGAAGATCCATTATCATTAGTTGATTCCTGGCCACTGTTACCAAGTGGTTTGGTTCGTTTTGTTTGTATCGTTCTGGAAAGATATTATTGTTATAGTCAAACTCTGAAAACAGTAGGGTTAGTGAAAAAAACACTTAAACTGAAGCTTTTAATACAGCTGAGCCCTCAGTCAAATTTCATGTGGTTTAAAGTGTAAATTTCTTTTTATTACTTGAATCCAAGAGTCGCTCTCAAGGCTTGGCCAAGGAAATTGACACTTCTACTACAACAACAGCTTCTCCTCTTTTAAACACTGCAAATAGTATGACAATGCAGAGGACATGGGGGCGACAGCACAGCAAATAGGATGACAATGGAGGGGCCATAGGGGCGACAGCACAGCAAATAGGATAATGCTGGGGCCATAGGGGCGACATCACAGCAAATAGTACGACAATGCAGGGGACAAGGGGACGACAGCGCAGCAAATAGGATGACAATGCATGGGACAAGGGGGCGACAGCACAGCAAATAGTACGACAATACAGGGGACAAGGGGGTGACAGCACAGCAAATAGGATGACAATGCAGGGGACAAGGGGGTGACAGCACAGCAAATAGTACGACAATGCATGGGACAAGGGGGCGACAGCACAGCAAATAGTACGACAATGCATGGGACAAGGGGGTGACACCACAGCAAATAGTACGACAATGCAGGGGACAAGGGGGTGACACCACAGCAAATAGTACGACAATGCAGGGGACAAGGNCAAATAGTACGACAATGCAGGGGACAAGGGGGTGACACCACAGCAAATAGTACGACAATGCAGGGGACAAGGGGGTGACACCACAGCAAATAGTATGACAATGCAGGGGACAAGGGGGTGACAGCACAGCAAATAGGATTACAATGCCAGGGTTAAGGGGAAGACTGTATAGCTGGGGGTTTCTTACCTGGGTAGAAACAAGGGCTTTTTCTGCAAATGTTCTTTGACTTCTGGTGACACTTCCTCACTACCAACATATTTCTGAACATAATCGTTCCATTTCTTAAGGAAAAGAAATTGGAATGAGATATAAATAAAATAAAATAAAAAACAAACAAACAAAACAAACAAACAAACAAAACAAACAAACACAAAAACAAGAATTTAATGGTTGCCTTTTAAAAACCTGTAAAACTCTGTGTTGCATAGATTTGTGGAAGAGAATTAAAGAATCCCAGTCAACTACGATGTACTGTGAGCCAGAGACAATGAAATGCAATGCAAAGTGCCAATTTGTCTGCCAGGCACAATGGTGGTAAGTGTGGGAATCCAGTTCCATTGGTCTTGTTAACCCTGGTAGATTTTTTTAACGACCATCATAATATAATGATACATATTCAGTAAAAGCAACAAATCTAAGGTACATTCTGAAAGTTGTGATGTCTAACAGTTGGACAACCAAAAAGTCATAATGTCTCAAAGAGAATCTCTCTGAAAAATTCAACCTACTTGCTGTGAAATGAAAGGAGGAAATCTTTGGGAATTTGAAGAAAATTTTGCTCTACCAGTGCATAAAGGAGCTTTGGGAATGATGTAGCTAAGCAATGTAAACAATGATATAAGGGTGCATTGCATTGTAGTTGACTGAGATTTTTTACGAACAGAAGTCACCACTACCAGGCAACCAGCTATTCAACAGGCCACTTGTATAATAGTATCATTTACTACCACTAACAGACTCCCTTGCACACTTTATTTTATTCCCCTATTTAGCACCAATCGTCTTACTATTTTCATTAGGAAATACAAATTCGAGTAAGTAAGAATGTTTGTGAAGCATTTTGGTAGTGGTAGTCAAATGATGCCATCATGCAAATGGGCTATTGCATAACGTTATGACCTAAGTCAACCATGTGAGAGGAAAATGTAAATCTTTATCTAATGATGGGCAACAATCCAGTTGAAGGATCACTGTACAAAAATCACTGTACAAAAATCACATCTGACTATTTTCCCTAAGCCGTCTCCTTTCCTTAATTCTTAACCTTTCTTCAGAACTAGATTTAAGGTTCCAGCATAGAATATATATACAGTATATGTTATTTACCGGCCAGGAGGTCCGGATATGGAAAAACTGTGCCGGAGGTCTTGAATATACGGACCAAGGCCGTTAGGCCGATGTCCGTTTTCAAGACAGAGGGCACAGTTTTTCCCTATCCGGACCAATATTGGAAGGTAAGTAACTTATCTATTTTTTTCTTGTATTTTTTTACTTGTTTTTGTAATCGTCCTGTTTTGTTGTTCAGCGGCAAAGGACACCGGACTGCAAGCGCGTGCAGATACTGCCAAAATACCGCCCGCTCAACCAGCCAATCAGAACACACAATTTTTTAGGATACCAGACGGGAAAAAAATAATTGTTGGTATTTACCTCTACTTCTAATGGATCCTCTGAATTAGTATCACCAGTGTCAAGAAGCTCCAGGCTCAGTTTACATATATTCTTATCCTTGTGCTGAAAGATGTCAATGAATAAAGTTTAGTATTGGAATGCTTCAAACCCTGACTATTGTAAAACAAAAATAATAAATCAGAGTTACAATTTCCCTAAAGCCTAATCTTTGCAGGAATGCCTAAAACTAGCCCTAGCCTAAAACCCTAACCTGGGGTCAGAGTGCAAAAATTGGGGTCACACGACTTTCCAGAATTTCTTGTTTAACCCTTTGGCTCCTGAGCATTTCTTCAGGTTTTTCAAATTTTTTCAGTTTTTTGAAAGTTTATTATGAAACATAGATGCCAAAATATGTATTAAAAAATAAATAAAATCCAAATAAAGGGATTTCTTTTGTTTCCCTCCAAATTGGGAATGACTTTGCAATAGACCCTTTTTAAGTTCCAAATTACCGCTGTGTTTCTTGATTACAGACTCATTTGCTCAGGCTAAGCCTCGATTTTGTGAATAATATTCACGTTTTCCAGTCAAGGTCCGTCAAGTTTCGAAGTGTTCGTATTATTGAACTTGTGCATTCTTTACTTAACCGTTGGTATTTGCGAGTAATTAGACACTGATTCCGCTAGGCTTGGCCTGAGCAAATGAGTCTGTAATCAAGAAACACAGCGGTAATTTGGAACTTAAAAAGGGTCTATTGATTTGCTGTAAAATGAGGCTGAACCTGTACATAGTAAATACCAGATGAGAAACAGGACTTTTTTGATGTTCGTGCTACTTTCTCGTTACAAAATTCAAGGACTTTTTAAGCACTTTTCAAGCACAAAAATTCAATTTTTGAGGACAAAGTTTTTTGTATTAGAACGTGTTTTAAGCATTGATTCAATGTTAAAGTGCAGCTAATTCAGCCAGGGCCACTAGCTTAGATAAATAGATCTTTAATATACGCATTCTTACCAGAAGTACCCAGATATTCAGCTAGGCTATTTACGAAATATACGAAAACTCTTCAATCAATTTTAATCGTCATGTATTTCAAAAGGTAAGTTAGAAATAACATCAAGTTTGCATTAAATTCAAGGAGTATTCCAGGAGTTTTGGCGTTTTCCCTATTTTGAAGGGCTTTTCAAGCGCCCTTAAAAATGTGTTTTCAATTCAAGGACTTTTCAAGGATTTCAAGGAGTAACACGAACCCTGATATAAATTCTTAGTGTTTTGAATTCCTGTCTACTTACAATCACAGCCTTGTAGCAGTTCTCATTTGATAGTACTGATTCAGCTTTGCTCTGATATGCTATTTCAGCTGCAGCTCTAAGGTGCTGTGTTGCAGAACTACCACCAGTAGCATTGTTGGATTGTTCCTGTTGGTAGAGCTCTGTGATTTGGATGCCTGTCTCATCTGTTACAAGTGTATGAAGCTGTAAAGAGAGACACATATGCTACTCAATAAACAACAAACAAACTAGTGGATACTATGCTGGATGCTTGTCTTATCTGTTACAAGGGTATGAAGCTGTAAAGAGAGACACATATGCTACTCAATAAACAACAAACAAACTAGTGGGCACTATGCTGGATGCCTGTTTCATCTGTTCTTCAAACAAGTGTTTGAAGTTGTAATATCTCTGTTACAAGTATATATTAAGTCAAGTCAATCAATTTTAATGTATTGTTAGTATTTTTTGACATTTTTCTAATTGTTGTTTCCCGCAGCAAAGAAGCAAATTGACCAGGCAGAAGGTGGAATGGAATGCTAAAAAGACAATACTTATCCATACCTGTCTAACAATATTTTGCACTAGTTTGTCCATTGTAAATGCGATGTAGGCATACACTCCAAACATCTCTCGGCATGTGTCTTCATAAGTAGTTGAATCCATGTTACCTATCACACATAAACACATAATATAGTAAGTATAATATGGGCAATCAGTTACAGTCTGTAGTCTCTGACAAAAAAGAAAACCCTTGAAGGAAATAGAAAGAAGGGATTAGAAATAAAGAAACAAATAGGGAAAGGAAGTGTGATGGATGGAAGGAAGGGTGGATGGAAAGGAAGAAGTAAAGGAAGAACAATAGTTAGGAAGGAAGGGCAGAAGAAAGGAAGGGAGGGTGGGTGGAAAGCAATCTTCTAAGCCCATAGATCAGTGAATTCTTAAGTCCAAACAAAGAAACACAAGGGAAAAAATAACCTTAAATAGATCTCCTCGTCTCTGACGTAATGATTTCCCATTTCAGACCACGTGTCATTCCCTAGAGTATCATTTCTTTGTTTAACGGTTGCACATAAGAAGACACATGAATATGGATACCACTCAAACAAAGAATATCATTATCAACGCAATGACACGTGGTCTGAAATGGGAAAACATTACGCTCGAGCACTGCAGAGCCGAGGAGGTCTATTGTAAACTCACCATCAAGAACATTCTTGACCATGTCGAGGAAGGCTGGATAGTATTCTTCAAGGTCAATTTCACTGGGTGCCTTTAGTCGTAATGCAATAGCTGTTGCTTCTTTTCTTTGCTGTTTGTCAGATGCTTCTCCTTCAGCTATGGCTACTGACTGCAGATACATCTTTTGCAATCTCTCACACAACATCTACATTAAAAAAATTGAAAGGTTTTCATATCTAGCTCAGTGGTGTTCAACTGGGACCATGCATTTATGATTGTAACAAGACAATACCACTAGCATAAGGCCCTGCTTACATGAAGTAACCATGATCCTTATACTCAGGATAATAGACTCTTTTTCAGTTACAATTACCATATTTGGCAACAGATTTATTCGGTGAAGAGATATTCCCAAATGGTTAGTTTACAAAAATGCTTTCAATTAGAATATCATTTCTTGAATGTAACAAGAGACAAAATAATGAAAAAATCTAATGTGTAGTTCCAAACCATACCCCTCACAGAGCAATTTTTTCAAGACATCCCCCTACCCCCTGAAAATTCCAATTTTCTTCCATACAAACTCTGTAAGTTTGTTCTTTCTCTGACCCCCCTACTCTTTGGAAATTCCAAATTCCTCTGTGGGGTGGGTATGGATAATTTCTGGAACTACACAATGGAATTTAGCAGTGACACTTCCACAAAGTAGCTATTTGTGCACTGAAATTCCAATTGGAATTTAGATTTGGATTCTGCTGAGGGAGGAAAACAAGAAAGCCTTGAGGAAAACCTTGAAGCACAGGAGAGAACCAACGGGCAACTGCACTCACATGAATGAGCAACAAATGAGTAACAATATTTAGAGCCAAGAATGAATGTCAGACACCATACCATTAGAGTGTAATTTGAAAAGTGTAAATGATTTACCTGGTGTAATCTGAGAAATATGTACCAATTGTTGTTGATGAAGAACAAATTGTATGCATCATCCTGGGGATAAATGAATAGGAAATGAAACATTGTGGGAAAATTAGAATGAAAATTATATTTACGTTTAAAGAGCTGGGCGATGCAGAAAAATGTATTTCATATTACATAAAAATGATTATTTGCTCTACATCAACAGGAGTTCCTGTCACACCTCGTGAATTTGAAAATACTTGTTTACAGTGTAACACAGCCATAAGGCAGACCAACTGTCAGACAATCAACAGTTGTTTTTTGTCTGACTGGCAGCTGTGAGGTAGTATTGTTTCTTTAGAAACTGTAAGTGGGATAATAGTTGAGTCACTGTGGAGTAATGGTGGGATGTCAACTGTTCAATGGCAATAATCAGCCAACAGGGCATCTGATGGGCTAATCTTACATTTTACCCCCAGACGTCTAGGGTTAGATTTCCTGAAGACTCTATTGTTCACTGTCATGCTATATATTGCTATATACATTCAATTGCTGTGTGGTGGTATGTTGTGTTTAATCTAACCAAGTAACAATAGCACCAAGTCTAACAACCCTGGGAAGACAGCTAGGGAGTGAAAGACTCCCACCCCTTACTTTTCACGTGTTTTGGAACTACACCTCACTCTTAGTTTAGGAGGTTTATGCTCATCTCTAATATTCTCTTGGATTGCTAGGCAACATGATAGTAAGCAAATACTAACTTACAGGTTCTCCTTCTCCTAATCCATTGGATAGTTCCGGCTTGCCTAGACATTGAGAATGAATAAGTCAGAACACTGCAAAAGTCTAGAATAATAATCTTTTATTTGTTAGAGCAGGCTGATTGTTTTTGCAGCTTTCGCTGATGTGGGACTGCTATCACTCACACTCACTACATTTACTATTTTATGCATACAACGTTCAACTCACACGTTGATTCTTACGGAGGGAGGAAAGCAGGAGAAAAACCCTTGTGGCAAGGTAGAGAACAACACATCGATTTTATTATTTTTACTTAAAGTTACAATAATAACCCATCTAAACTAAGATCAACTGCGATCGGCTGTGAAAATTATCTGCTGAAAGTCAAACCAGCAACATGACTCATTGGACTCACAGCAGTGAAAGACAAGGTGTTAGCAGTGTATATGTCACCTGGATACTTTTTTCTAAACAAAACTTTTTGAAACACATTAACAGAAACCATATCCTTTTTATATGTCTTTGGTAATTTATAAATGTCAAGATTTTCTATATTTGGGTTACCTGTGCTAGAGCGGTTTTACTACACCACAGGCAGCCCACAATATTAGACCAAGCAAAAAGCAACAAGTATGCAGCTTAGTCAAATCATTTTTACCTGGTCCATTCATCTCTTTAACAGACTCCTCATCATCACTTACATCTCCCCTAATAAAAAGACAAATCACCTTAGCCATCCCTTATTGACGACTTATTTGGTATAAATTCAAATTCAGATTTCAAATTAACAACTTGAAGATATTTCATCATGAATTGTATAGAGGATATTACATGTGCACGCGGAGATACGAATTTTATCTTCTCGTGTTCAATTGATATCTCAAGACTGAGCGCAGTGAACGAGTGAGATATCTAAATTGAACACAAGAAGATAAAATTCGTATCTCCAAGCGGCCATGTAATGTTCTGCTTATTATATAGATATCGATGAAACTTAAATAAAACAAAAGCTCAAAAATTCTTTATTAAGATAGCAAGCCGATTCTTTGAAAAATACGTTACTATGTCAACTGCAATATCTTCACCTGTGAAAGATATGGTATCTTCCACTGGTGAAAGATATCAAGCTTTCGACACTAGAGAAAACCTGGTATTTCATTGATATCTATATAATAAATAATGAATATTGAATGAAACGCTCTTTCATGTGGCTTCTCAAACCAATATCAAACTAAAAGTTAAGCAAATGTCAGACAATTTACCCATATATGTACATCTACACCTACATTATCATATATATTTTTAAATGTTGTCTGCGAGTATCACTTCTAAATGTAATATATTTATAGCAGAACGACATAAATTCCTTTTAGATTGGAATATGAAGCACAACCTTGGAGTTAGAATTGAGAATTTTTATATTTTGGCCAAAAAAACCTAAAAGCACAAAAAGTCTGTTAAAGTGCCTATGACACCTAATTCAATATTTTTAGCACTGATTTGAAATGAAGCAAATGGTTAAATAGTAAAATATTTTAATATGGTTTGAGTGATGAATCTTGCAGATATCAAGGTTTATACTTCCAATATGTTAATGATGTGATGTCATTATAGGCATGATTAATTATACAAAACTTCTCTGGGGCAGTAAAATACCCTGTATAAAACATTATTGTCTTACTTTGGATTTCAAGAAAGGTTCTAGCAAAAAAATTCTCATAGTAATCAGTGTTTCGATTTCCATGTGATGGCAGATAAACTGAAATGCCTCCTTTGATGTCACGTCATTAACATATTGGGAGTATAAACCTTGAAAACTCAAGTATACAAGTGATTAATAATAACTTTAATAATTTTACTAGATAAAAATATTGTTAAAAATGCTTGGGTTTAATGTAGAAAACCCTGTGCATAAAAGAATTTGAATATTATATCACTCTTTTTTAATACTTTATCATACTTTTGTGTGTCATGCTGTAAATAAGGTATAGATTTACTTTGTTAGCAAGTATTTAGCACAGCTTACCTTGGAGCAAAAAGAAGATCAGGTAAAAAGCAGTGTAAAAGGAGTTTAATCTTTGCTTTTTCTTCTTTGTGTATGCTCGTCTGTCTCTTGACATGATGTACTATCAGACCTGCTGCATCATCCAAGATGGACTTATCCTAAAAAACATAACCACACAATAAACAATGTTCGTTATACACCATTCAAGGCAATGACACGTGATCTGAAGTGGGAAAACAGTGGATTAGGTCTGTTATTTTTTTAATCACTTAAAAAAGTGATTAACATCAGTGTGTATCAAAAAACCATGGGCACCTAGAAATATTTTAAGAATGTTAATCAGCCAATAAATTACAGAAGCGTTATTGTTATCTTTCCGTTATCTTGTGGTTAGAAAGTCAATTCTGATTGGTCAAAGAAGAATAGAATATTCCTAGTATTATTTCTAGGCGCCCACAGTTTTCCCATTTGCACTATAACTATCAATATAAAATGTTTACCTGATACGTAAATATGACATGTGGACCACTAGCATCTCCATTCCCTTCTGCAGCTTGCTCTTGTTTCTGTCCAAATGCAAACGACAAAAGAATTGAATGGGTTGGATGGATATAACCATCAAAAATAGATAGCTTCAATAGCATGGAGTCCTCATCAATCAATGTTGCTTGATGTTATTTCGCTTTTGCTAGTTTAATTTTCTTCCTTTGTACTGTAAATATTATGGATGTGAGCCCCCTTGTTAAGCTTTACAGCTTTTGGGGCAAATGTTTAGTCAAATATGTTTAAATAATAATAATAATAATAATAATAATAATAATAATAATAATAATAATAATAAAGTGGTTGAGGGGGATTCCCTTTACCTCATCAAATATAGTCTCTATTTCATTAACTACAGTCTTGGATCTCATAGCTTTGAGATCATTCTGTTTGAAAGTGATTCCCTGGTGATCAAGGGACTTCAGGTAATATTTTTCATTTTGTTCTCTCCAAATCTTGTTGAACTGTCGCTGAGATTCCCGCCATTCCTCTTCTTTTGCTTTAAGTCTGAGAAATCAATAATTGGACCAATCAGTCAATCTGTCATTGCAACTCAATGGAATTGAATTATTAGGTAGTTTGACACTTGGTTAGTCCGATCAACCACTCAATTCATTAATGCTAGTCAATCAAGTCACTCAGTCGATCACTCATGTCAATTAAGCTGGTCACTGACATCAATTAGTTAGTCACTCATGTCAGTCAATTAAGTCACTCATGTCAATCAGTCAGTCAGTCAAGTTGCTCATGTAAATCAGCCAGTCACTTATGTCAATCAAGTCACCCATGTCAATCAGTCAGTCAGTCAAGTTGCTCATGTAAATCAGCCAGTCACTTATGTCAATCAGTTGGTCACTCACGTCAATTAGTTAGTCACTCATGTCAGTCACTCATATCAATCAATAAAGTCAGTCAGTCACTCATGTCAGTCAATCAAGTTACTCGTGTCAATCAGTCAAGCCACACAAGTCAATCTGGACATAGGATTGTCTGTTAGTATACTAACCTTTTAAGAACAAGAGGAACAGCCACAGCTGGAGTTTTCTTTAAGCCATCAATAATATCAGGGGCTTTGTCTCCATATATTCTACAACAACAAATAGCAAACAAACTAAGTCTACTATAGACATGAAGGAGTTACAAGTCAGCCCTTTTCTCAACCCCCTTCAGGCTTAGTTCGTTAAGCATGTTATTCACTCTCTTCCTCAAGAGTTTTGATAAGGTTTTCCAGATTTTCTCTTTCAATAACGGGAATGCAACATTAGTGCAGTAGTAGTTTTCTTGTGTTCAATGAATTAGAATTCTATCACGAGTTCAACTAGTAGAATTTACAATAAATGTAAAGAACAATAATTTAATATTTCAAAGATTCTCTTGGCAGAATCATGGCTAATCAAAATATGATATTGAATCCTCAATTGATTGGTTGACCTCGAGTTTGTTCTGAAGGTCAAGGTGGTATATGTCGTTAAGCTTATTTTTCTTGTAACAAGATCTGAGCTCCAAACAGGGGTTGAACCCATGACCTGTTTGCTAGTGGGACGAATCCAGCCACTGAGTTATTGTGATCTAGATGGTATTTTTTACTGGTTACTTAAGATGTACGCTGTGTGATTACCTAAGTGGTAATTGATTATGTTTTGTCAAGCTAACTGTTCTAGAGAAAAGTGTATTATCGCATTTCATAGTAAAATAATGAAGAAATAATGCTGTGTTATGTCATAAAGCACGTGGGGGTTGGCAGAACACGAGAGAAGTGTTAGGAAAAGCATGACGCATAGCGGAGCGCTTCTGGACACTTCTCGAGTGTTCTGCCAATTATAACGGCACACAGCACAGCAAGCAAGTTTTTTATTTCTTTTATAAAATGCAAATTACAATAACCGTTATTTTAGATAAGAGTGATGCAACGGAACGTGCGTGCGCGTGCAATGTGCTCTCATAAAGCACGCGCTCCAAACCAATCAGAATGTTATTTTATAAATCATATTACTAATCATGGTATGTGTCTTGTTCTAATCATACCTTTGTATTGCTTTCTTATGTACAACTTCTGATGTTCCTCCCAGGCAGCTGTCCATTCTGAACTTTTGTTGTTCTTCTGGGGACATTCTTTAATTCAAATGATAAAACAAACAATATTAGTAAAGTTAAGGAGGTTGGAAAGCGTTTGTGCCTTCACATACACATACGCACTTAAGAAAAACCGTTTCGAGCCTCCTTAATCACATGATTATGAAAGAGGAAATGGTTATTAGGTTGAATAATAGGTGTGCAAAATATTGAGTCAAATCAGTAAACAGACATGTGGATGGATGGATGAATGGAAGGATGAATAGATTTGCAAGTGTAGAAATGGATGGATGGGTGAATGGGATTGATGGGTGTATAATAGATTGGCAAGTGGAGGAATGGAAGGATGGGTGAATGGGATAAATGGGTGTATAATAGATTGGCAAGTGGAGAAATGGATGGATGGGTGAATGGGATTGAAGTGTGTATAATAGATTGGCAAGTGGAGGAATGGATGGATGGGTGAATGGGATTGATGGGTGTATAATAGATTGGCAAGTGGAGGAATGGATGGATGG